TCGAGCCAGTCAACGGCCTCATCGACGACTAGCTGACACGAATATCCTTCCAGCTTACCGACAGGCTTTCCGTTACGGATAAAATTGCGAGGGTTCTTATGGCTTGGCTCAGCATTGTTCCATGTTGCAAACCAATAGTCGAAACCATGTTGATCCGGAGTTGGTTTGTCGAACTTTTTCGTGGGTAAACCAAGATGCCACTTGCCGATGTGCGCGGTCGCGTAACCTTGCTCCTTTAAGACTTCGGCCAAGGTATTTTCCCGCAGCAGCAAGTGCGATCGCTGAGACTCGTCATGAATCCAGCTGTATACGCCTGCTCGAATATGGTGACGCCCCGTCAGCATCGTTGCTCGTGATGGCGAACAAACGGCACAGCCGGAATAGAAGGCTTCAAATCGAGTTCCACCACGTGCCAACGCATCGATCGCCGGCGTTTTGACAGGCCCGTCGTAGCATCCGACATCTTGATAACCCAGATCGTCCGCCAAAAGCATAACGACGTTCGGCTTCGTCTCAGCCGCCGATACGTTCACAGAAAAACCTATCGTCAGCACGCAGGGCAAAGCAAATAGCAAGATCGAACGAAACATGGAGTAACCTTTAGACAGGCGGGGACACTACAGGGTGGGGACGTGAATCGAACGCTTAGTGGACAACAACCGTTATGCTGGACGCCGGTTCTACTCACAACTATGTTGTAGCGAACCACCCCGGAAGTCAAAAAAGTTCGTTCGATTACCTCACTTTCCCTTCCAGCTCCTACCTTCGGTTCCTCGCGAGCCCCTAATCCTTCCTCGACGCTGCCTACTTCAGGAATGCCGCCATGTCGTTTGTGAAGCTACCCTTTTTACTGCTCTGCCTCATCCCACTGCTTATCACCGTGTCCGGGATTTCCGCAGAAGATACTTCTTTCGATCCCTCTCGTCTGGAAGTCACAACGCTCGCAACGCAATTGAAGCAGCCCATGGAGCTGGCCGTTGCCCCAGATGGCAGAGTCTTTTACATCGAGATTAAAGGGCAACTAAAAGTCTATAACCCCGCAACGCGGCAGACAGAAACCGTTGGTGAAATCGAAGTCACAACGGCCCAGGAAAATGGCCTGATTGGCTTGGCTCTCGATCCAAAGTTTCAGGAGAACCGCTGGATCTATCTGCAATACTCTCCTCCTAATTTCTCAGGCCAGCATGTCAGCCGGTTTACTCTCGTCGATGGCAAGCTCGAAATGGAAAGTGAGAAAGTACTTCTAAAGTTCGAAGAGCAACGTTTGCAATGTTGTCATCACGCCGGATCTCTTGAGTTCGGCCCGGACGGATGTCTGTTCATCGGCACCGGCGACAACACGCATCCGCATGGCGATTCTCACGGATACGCTCCGATCGATGAGCGGCAAGACAAGTTTCCTTGGGACGCTCAAAAATCATCCAGCAATACGAAGAGTTACAACGGCAAAATTCTTCGGATCCGTCCGCTTGCCGATGGCACGTACGAAATCCCCGATGGCAATCTTTTTCCCAAGGATGGATCGATCGGACATCCCGAGATTTACGTCATGGGATGTCGCAATCCGTGGCGAATTAATGTCGACCAAAAGACCGGCTACTTGTACTGGGGAGAAGTTGGCCCCGATGCTGGGAACGATGGTGCCCGCGGCCCGCGCGGTTACGATGAAGTGAATCAAGCCAAGAAAGCTGGCAACTTTGGTTGGCCATATTTCATTGCCGATAATCAAGCGTATCACGACGTCGACTTTACCAGCGAAAAGGTAGGCTCAAAGTTCGATCCTGCCCGACCGATCAACGATTCCCCCAATAATACCGGCGCCCGTGAACTTCCTCCGGCGACGGAAGCTTTCATTTATTATCCCGGTGCCTCCTTCGATAAGTTCCCCGAAGTAGGG